CAAATTACTGACCTCTGTCATCATTTTAAGTGGGGGAACTTGCACAATCGGTGGCTGACTAAATACTTTTTTGCCCCACTGTAGCTACGTTAATCCTGCCGTAAAACAATAAGACAAGGTACGGCCTCTCTCGTGCTCCCAGAGTGCTCTCTAATGCACACAAAGTTTGCAGACTATCAAGGATCAAACCTCTACCAATCTGCAACTAATTATAAAACTCTAAGCATACATAAGTAAATATTTCTAAGCATAAATGACAATCAACAATACAAAACCTAGCACCAAGAAAGTGTGGTAAGAGACTGCTAAGAGATTAAGAATAAAGAGCAAAAAAACAAGTGAGGATATTAATCAACCCTAGATATAAAAAAACGAGGATCTTAAGAGAATTTATTTGGATGATGTCAGATAATCTCATTCCCCGGAGAACTACTGCCATGCTAAGAATAGCACAATGAGTAAGAAAATGTCAACTATTATACACAAACAATGAAGCATAGTAGAGGGAACTGCGTCATTCAACATGTGACTCATTGCAGTGCTGCAGATAATAACACAGCCATGAATGGGAAGCAAAATTTTATTTCACGCAGGAGACATTGTTGCTAACAATGTCGCTGTTCTGGATAATTGATTCATAGATGTCTCTAATGGAGGTTTTTGAGCACAAATGGTAGACGATAAAAATGGACGAACACAGCTTTGTGCTGTCCATGTTGATTTCAATGTCAACAATTCACAGTGATGTTTCTTGCAGCAACTCTTTGATGCACTTTCCACAAGGATTGACAGGTTTTGCAATACTGTGGAGGTAATCAGGGAACCACACTGTGAGTAAAAAAGCAGCACACAACCGTTGCAATCATTCACTTCCAGAATGCTTAGTAAAATATTGCCTCTTATGATGTTTTTCTTTCTTTTTTTAATTTTACTTTCAGGACACTTTGGGACAGATTAAAATGATCAGTTCTAGCACTTGGGCCACATTTTGTCCATAATTCTTTAAAGCAATGCTAAGACTTAAAAACCAAAACCAAATGGGCTGCTGCAGTAGGTTTGACATGTTGCGCATTCAGAGAGGCTCTTCTGTAAACAGTGCTTCAGTTGAAACGAGTGTCTTCTGATTTGCTGTTGTCTTGAAGCTTGAAGAAGTCATTTTCAACTTTTGATCACTCCTTATTTATTCTGTATTTGGACTATTCTCTGGCACACATTGTGTAACACTCTGTGTCACATTCAAAATCACTTAAATCACATCTTGATCCTCAGCTTAAACGTAAGCACTTCATTGGAGCAAGTTTAAATGCCTCGATGCATATAGTTGCTGCGATGTGAAAAGCAGTTAAACGTGTGTACCTGTGATGTTTGTGTTGTGGAAAAACAAAATGCCTTATTAATGGTTGTTTGTTGAAATATTTCTTGTCCAGGAAACATGAAATTTCACTATTAGATCATGTTAATGACTAAAATATGAAACTTTTAAATCAGATCAGGAACCACTGAAGACACCCATGCAAATTAAAGTGGTACTCTAGTGGCATACATAACCTTATAGAGCACCATTATTTATATTAGACTTACACACATTTTTAGTGCCTGGCTAACCTAAAATGTGTCCACACACGAGAAGATTACCATGAAGATAGAACACGTTCAAGTGCAAATGACTTGATATGATTATTGCCATTTTTAGTTTTTGTTTTTGAGAATGACTAATTGTTATCAAAGCCCATTGATTTATCAGCAAACATTATTGAATTTCAGAAAGGATCCAACAGTTGTAATTGTAATACTTATGTGAATAAACAAGACAGTCTTCTTTCTGTATTAGTTTATTAGAGATATATCTGTCATTTTGCAGTCATCAGATAATGCTGATTCAGTGAATTCTTCATAATTTATTTAGGAACTTGTCCGCCTCCTCTTCCTTGTCCGCCTCCTCTTCCTTGTCCGCCTCCTCTTCCTTGTCCGCCTCCTCTTCCTTGTCCACCTCCTCTTCCACCTCCATGGCCATGTTCACCTCCTTTTCCATGCTTTTTCTCTTTCCCCTGTAAACAACCGTTAGAAAATTAAGTGATTAAAAACGTATTGTAACTCAGATGGCAGCAAACTTTCAATTCCAAAAGGCTGCTGAAGTTGTACCTTTCCTTTTCCTTCTCCCTGTAAGTGATAAAGACAAATAAACTCATGAATGCTACAATATTACAGAATCAACAGAGCAAAACAACAGAAAGCACATGTGAAACTTTTCTTACTCCTGATCCTTCTCCCTCTGATCCTGATCCTGATCCTTCCTCCTCATGAGAACATTTCTCTTCCTTCTTCTGACAGGAGAAAATTGCTTTATAAGTACATGCTTATAATGCTGTTTGTCCCAGGTGTAGAACAATCAAATGAAATAAAAGTACTTACTTCAGCTGCAGCTATAGTTGGAAACAAAAAACAAAGTAAGAAAAAAAAAATTAGATAAAGAAAAACCAAGCTTGATATGTGACTTTGCAAAAGAACAGGATAGATGACTGCGATCATAAGGCCACAACCAAAATTGAAAGCAGCTTTCAATAACAGAATTTAACAGAAAGGCAACTGCACAAATGGCACAAACAACACATGATATTTTCAGCTTAATCGGAGACTCACGGTCACTCATTTTGTCTTTTTAACAAGCGTTGTAGAAATTCTTTTTCTAAAAGAAATACAAAAGTTGAGAAAAATGAAACACTCTTAAACGTTCTGTGTAATCATTACAAGGAGTCAACAGTAAATGCAATAAGTGCTGCGTACCTGATAAAGAAGGCAAAAACGTTTGTGTCTGTTGTCTGCTTTGATGCCTGTATTTAAAGGGAGAAGCATGAAGGATGAGGGTGTGTTTATGAGGCACCCACACCTGCTACTAATAGATGCAGGACAGGTAAAAAGGTAACTGGCAGTTCCACCTTGCCTTACATGCTTGAGGGCAGGGCTGTAACGGCATGGTTGTATGAAAGGAAACTGGTCGAACGTCAGCATTATGGGACAGCCTTTGTTCTGCTGCGAAGTGCTAAAGACTCTCCATTCACAACAATTTTCAACAATTTTCTGTAATGTGTGCTGCAGAGAAAACACAATTATATATCTGTTTAAACCAAATGAGAAGAATCTGGGGAAGCTTTAATGTCACTGACTGCTATTACAAAGACGATTAAAACAATAATTATAATATTTGAATGTGTGACTCTTAAAGTGCACTCTGCAAGTAGCAGTAATTCTACAGGGTGGCCATTTCTATGGATACAGCGTAATAACATGGGAATGGTTGGTGATATTAAAGTCCTGTTTGTGGCACATTAGTATATGTGAGGGGGCAAACTCCTCAAGATGGGTGGTGACCATGGTGGCCATTTAGCAGTCGGCCATCTTGGAAACAACTTTTGTTTTTTCAATAGGAAGAGGGCCATGTGACACATCAGACTTATTGGTAATGTCACAAGAAAAACAATGGTGTGCTTGGTTTCAACGTAAAGACAAAACACAAATGTGTGATGCTAATTATGAGGTATTAGACTTAAAGATAAAAATAAATCCCAACAACTCCTAGCCTGAGATCTATGTCCCCACCCTCACCTATGAGGTGTTCTGGGCATGTCCACCCTGGAGGAAACCCCGGAGCACACCAGTACATGCTGGAGAGATATCTCTCAGCATGCCTGGGAAGGGCTTGAATGGATTGGGAGGACTGGGCTTCTCTGCTTAGGCTACTGCCTAATGGATGGATTCATGGTGTATGGATGTTTTTTTTCTTTCTATTTTTGCAGCTTAAGCTTGGCTGGCTTGTTTCACTTGCATCGAGAGCTCCTTCAACCGCATCCAAATAAAAGCAACAACACCTAATATAAATTCGAGGCATTTTATCTGCTTAATTAATAATTACATGCAGTAATCAAGGAATTGCCCAACCTGCCAGTGAAACAGCCCTTGAGTAAATTGTTTGATCGGGTCCTTTAAAAAGAGGGTGGCACATGTTATGGAGCTGACAACTTAAATCAAAGTTGAGAGTCTACACATTATGTGTATGTCCATTATGTAACTATAATTGGAATATGTTTCAATAATCAGGTACTTGTGTCAGTGTCCAAATTACTATGGACCACACTGTATATAATTCTTCTCTTTTTATGCATATTTAGGGTCTGCAGAGGTAAGTGGAGCTCTGAGAGAACAGAGATATCCGCATCTCTCAGCTTTTATGTCCTGTCATACCAGTTTTTAAGCTTCCACTGTCAGTTAAGACCATAATAATAAGACAACAATCCTGTTTTTGTCTGACAAACATGTCAAACCACTCATGGGCTTGACATGGCAAGGGCAATTTTGTTCTCTCATGAAGAACACAAGACAGGGTGTGCTGACTGATTTCATCCTGCCAATCAAACTCAGACATAAAAACAGTGTGAGTGCAAACTTGGCATGATACACTCACATTCAAGCCGTTCCTCTCTGCATTCATGTCTTAAAGACGTTAGGGTGTGGCGGCGTCTTCATTAATCCCATGCAAACGTACACCTATCTGGAACAACCCTGACATATTACAAAACAATAATATGATAAACTTTTCAGATTGGAGTG